AGGAATACAGAAGCCTGATGATGGCAGATGAGATTCTGCCGAAACGTTGCTACAACTTTAAAAGCACAACTACAATGACGTGGGAAAATACCCGAACAAAGCTGAATGCCATCTCTCTCTCTCTCTCTCTCTCTCTCTCTCTCTCTCTCTCCATCCACTAGAGAAGGATTAAAACAAGGATTCATTTTAAAGAGTAGTCAGAGAATCCAGTCCAGGAGCAGTTGTGGTAACTACCCAGGAGAATAAACATGTTGCCAATTGTCAAGTAAAACAAGAAATCATGAGGGCCATCTATACTTTCCTAGGAAAGTTCCCTAACTTTCTATGAAGAAGGTCCTACTCTAAAGTGAGAGCCAGCCTCACTGGTGGGGTTACTTGGGCGATATAGTAGGAGGTAGTCTTTTACATTTCATTAAATTCAACAAGCTGATATACTGCAAAGCCCTAGTGTCCAACATTGCCTTCATGTTCACTAGAGACTCTGTTCACCAGCCAGTCCCTTATGGAAGATGACTGCAAGAAAGACAGCAATAAGATGAGGATGGCAGGGAATATCCTAGAAAAGGTAGCTTGTAACTTGTTTGATTTGCCTCCCATCAAATGTATGATAAGGGACAATTGACAGTTTAGCAACAAGAATGTTACAGTTCTCTCACAGCAACCATTTTCTGAATGTATTCTCCATTATACTTGAAAATTTCAAAGCTACCAACCAACTGAATAGGCTAGAGGAAAAAAAAGCGATCGATCAAAACAAGCATTTCTTGATCAGTGGCAGTTCCAATTCAAGTATGAAGTAAATAATGTCACAAAACTGTTTTTTCGGAAATCAGAATGAAACAATTGGAGTACTATGAAAACATAACACAAAAGCCACATTTACACTTTGGTAAATTGTCTGTTGTTTTTCTGAATAGTAAGCCCATATGTTTACAAGACCTATGACTCTCTCTGTGGAGAGTAACTGATTTGAGGGGAGATGTTATAATGGTCTTCTGTGTCTAGTATCATATTCTAAATTTTGCTTCATGCAAATAAATAATATACTTCTGTGTTTCACACTGCATACACTTATTTGTCACCCTTTCCTAAATTATCCTTGAAATCTTAACTAAATCAATCCAGACCAGGACAACTATGGACAGTTTAAATAATGCCCCTATAAAATACTGTTCTGAATAGTGGCAACAGAGTGATCAACAGAGTAAAGTTTCTAACAGAAAACAGTCAACTCTCTTGCTTGTATCTTTAAAGAACCCTTTATCTTAGAATAAATTACACATCTCTCCAAGTTGGTCATGTGTGTCTGTTTACTTGGAAATTATTCACTGACTTCAATGAGGCATAGTGCCTCAATGGGACACAATGAACACAAAATATTGTAGTTTACAGTTTACAGTTCACACATTAATACATAATCATCTGATTTCTGTGTACTTGATGCTTGTACTCTTTTGGTGACTAGGAGTTGAAATTTAGGAATGTGGTTTCACTTGTTTACCAGACAAGAATTATTTCAACATTACAACTATGCATAATTAAAATGTTTTTCAAGATTGTACCTGCAAAGTAAAAGCCTGTGTGGCAGATAATAACAGTATGCCATTTCTGTGATTTAGGTATTGTCCTAAATTTCCAGCACATCAGCATTTTTAGGCACAAGCATTCAAAGAAGGGGAAACACAAAGTATTGAAAGATAATAACCACCCCATCCCTGCAAATAAAGACAGACTGACAGTTGAATGTAAATCTTGCTGCTCACTTGTACCTTAACTTGATAATTTGTAACAGCTACTTCCCACTGGATACATATTCTAAGAGAGGTGCCTTCTAACCTTTTGTCAGGAACAAATTGCAACTGTTATCTTGTTATATTATATATTAAATCCCACAGTTGAAGAGTTTAAAGTAGAAAGATACTCTTTTCCCATTCCAATTCCCATTCATTATTTCCCATTCATTATTCTATAGTAGACAATAACAAAACAGGAGAGAGAGAGACGGAACAATGACAGATGGTCACCTTGTAATGCTTTGGGCGGGAGACGCCTCTATTATTTACCATTGCCTTCTCTGTGTTAATATTGTCACTTCTTCTTTTGGGTAAATATTCTCTGAAAGCTTTTGATGGGAAAAAGGCTACTCTTCTCCTTACAGCCTACATTGCAATGAAAAGACGCTCCCTCTTTTCATACTTCTTTCAACCTTCTCCCAATGGATTAGACAAGGAGAAAACCCTGAGCTTTGTTTCGAAAGGACACAACTGTGTTTCACCTAATCTGAATGACTAGTCATAACCCCCAGATGTCAAAAACACCACTCAACATTTCTGTTTTCAGTTTAGTCCCCCCACTCTCTATCTAAATGGAAAAAACAGTGTCTATTTAAGGAGGTCAACTGAAAGGAAGTAACCTTTTGCACACAAGCTGATGGAAGGGTTGATTTTTTTAAAATCATTCACAGGGAGCCAATCCACATCCTTCACTATAATATGTAGCAGTGACACAAACATATAATGGGACATTGTACAATAACAACGTAGCATCTTTGAGTTATTTCCCTTGATTCCTTTTGTTATTCTTCTTCTTCGTGTTTGCAACGGATGAATGATTCAACACATAGACCAGTAAAAGAAATGGAGCAAGAATCCAGAATGGCAGACAAGGAGGCACTACAAGAAGCATCAACCTACCTGTCCCAAAGGCTTTGGCCACTAGCCACGCTAGATTACAGGCGATCTTTGCTCGGGCGAAATCGTAGTGATCAAACGGTTTGATGGCTGGGACAATGAACGTCTTCTTCATCTCCTTGACGTCCGCTGAATCCCCCATTTTTTCTTCCCTCTCCCTCCCCCACCCCGGCCCACGGAACCTCTTCCCTTCCCCTCCCCCTACGAGGGATCTACATGGTTCTCCTGCCGGAAGGAGCCGCGTTGGAAAAAAACGGGCATCTGTCAAAACCCCCGAATCACGTTTCGACCTCGATTTTTGTTGCGGCAGAAGAAGCGAGGCGGGCGCGCCGTTTCACCGGGAGCGATCTCCCTCTCCGCCCCTCTTTTGCCGCTGCATAGGAATGTGAGGAAAGGGCTCGGGGCCCCTCTTTTTTTTCCCTCCCCTCCTTTCTCCTCGGGCGCTTTGTCTCAGTCCCCAACGCCAATTGTGAAATAACGCAAAAGAAGGGCAACTTTGGAAGATTCCCTCAGGCAGGATCGTCTTCCCCACGCCGTCCTCGCTCTTGAAAAAGGAGACCCGAAAGAGATTCCTTCTCTCTCTGCCCTTCTAACCGAAGGCGGCGGGGGCGGGAAAAGGAGTCCGAGTGGGAGGGAGGGAGGGAGGGAGGTGGCGGCGGGGCTTTTCCTGCAGTAGCTGGAAGAGGAGGCGGCGAAGGCGGAGGCGGCGGCGGCTGGGAGATGGCCAGCAGACCGGCGGGACTGCCCAACCAGCCGGGCGCGCCACAGCAGGAGAGATACGCGGCGGAGCTGGGTGTGGCGCGCGTTTGCTCTTTCCTTCGCTCCCGGGTCCTCTCCGTTTCCTTCCGCGCCTCAGCTCCAAAGGAGAGCCCCTGTCTTGTCCTCCCTCCGCCCTTTCCGAGGCTGCCTTGCCAAAACCTGCCGCCCTTTCGGCGCTCTCTCTCTCTCTCTCCACCCGGTTCTGCTGCTGTCGGTGCTTCCGCCACTACAGCCGCACTAGGCTGGGGAAGGAAAAAAAAAAAAGGAGAAGGGGGGTGGGGGTGGGAAAGGAGCCCGGCACGCAGACGCATGCGCGCTCCGCTGCCTCGCCACAGCCCCCTTTCCTCATGGTGAACGGGCTTCGGCTTGGGCGGAGCTGGTGGGGCGGGGAGGAGGGTGGGGGGGCACACCAGAGAGGACAGAAAAGCGGAGCGGTCTTTCCTTGACGTCCGGCGTGACTCGGGGAGGGTCACGTGGCCGACCGGCTCTATAAGTGGCTGATCTGGATGCGGGGTTGCGGCGCGTCCCATCGTCGCCCGTCGTCCGAGGCGCATCTTCTGAGCAGAAGGGAGACTGGAGCCATCGGGCTAATGGGAAGAACCCTGGAAGGCCTGGAGCAGAGGCCGCGGCGGGGAAGCGAATCGGCCGCGATGCTCTGCCGTATCGCTTGCAAGGAAGCTCCCCCCTCTCCTTTTTTCTTTTTTTGCAAAGACGGATGCCTTGGAACCGATGTCTGAGGCCTGAAAAGGGCCTCCTAACGAACCGGTTGTGGGGTTTGGTTCATTAACATGTATTAGGAAGATGCTCTTCTCCTTCTCCTTCTTCTCCTTCTCCTTCTCCATCTCCATCCCGTTAAGATGGTTATGGACGTCTGCTGACTCCCAGAAAATTGCATCAGTGATGAAGTGGGTTTTAGTTGACAAAGGATTTTGGTTCTATTTTTGTTGCTTTTTTCCCTCCTTAGATATTCTTAATTCACAAGAATCTCTGTTTATCAGTGAGAATCAGTTTGCTGTTAGTGGATTCAAGGCACCAGGCTAGAAACTGGGAGATCTTCAGTTCCAGTCCTGACTTAGGCATGAAGACAGCTGGGTTGACCTTGGGTCAGTTGCTCTCTCTCTCTGTTGCTTCTGAAAACCCTTGCCAAGAAAACGAAGGATTTGTCCAGGTGGTTGAAAAAATATTAATTTAACCTTTCCTATCTTAAGGCATGTGTATATACGGTAATACATGCAGAAATGGTATTCAGCAGGTTCTGACCAGTTCTGGAGAACCAGTAGCGGAAACTTTGAGTAGTTTGGAAAACCGGCAAATACCACCTCTGACTGGGCCCACCCCATCTATTCTCTGCCTCCCATTGAGTCCCAGCTGATCAGCTAGGTCTTCTTTTGTTGCCCTGTGCAGGAGAACAGATCTGGAAATCAGGTCAGTGGGGTGGGGAGGAAATGGTGATTTTGCAGTAACCTTCACCCAGGAGTGGGGAGGGAATGGAGATTTTACAATACCATTCCCCTGCCATGCCCACCAAGCCATGCCACACCCACCAAGCCACACCCACAGAACCAGTAGTTTTTGAATCCCACCACTGAGTACACATGGAATATAATCCATGTATGTTTCAGTACAATACTGCAAAATTATACAGTGTCATTGTAAATGAAATGAAGAGCATAAAAATCGCAATTCTAAACCAGCATGACATTTTAAACTGCCTGGACAACTGAGCCTTGCTGAAATGGGGAGGGTGTTTCAGGGGTAGATTAACTGCATAAAGAAATCTTTTGAGTGCAAAATCCAGAGAGATTTTCCTGAAGATCTTAAGAACACTTTGCCCATTATATTTAGCTTTTGTTTGTTAAATTGTCGTTTGATGAATAAACCACTTTTGACTGGCTTATTAATTATAAGCCAAAACCAAAGAAACCTTATCAATTATTATGAAGATAGTAGCATTAAAAATAGAATCAAGGAGGATCAAGTTCAAAAGGGTTAACTCTCATAAACATTTATTGAAAGAACCATAGGGTTGGAGGTTTATATGTATAGCTGAGACCCTGCCAACCATCTCAATTTTAAACTAATGTGGAGTAACTGAATGTATTTGGACTACAAGCTACAACCCATGTGCATGTTTACCTGAGAACAGCACAATAAAACATTTTCAATTATCAAAGGAACTTAGAATTGTATTGTAAAACTGATTTGTTAAGGATTTTTCCCAAGAAGCAGGTAAAGTGAGTTTGATGAGCCATTATCAAGTTCACCACACTATGTTGGAAAGAATGGACTGTTCTAAAAGAAAGGCATTTATATTCTTATGGACCTGTATTTAGTGTAAATATAAATGTTATATTTTCACTTGAAAAACTCGCTCAATACTTGAAATTAAGTTCAAATAGCATTTCTGCTTTTAATTCTACAGTCTATATGTTTTTGTTGACATAGAGAACTATAGTTTCAGTCAGGGCTGTATAACTGTCATAGCTTGGAGCAAATATAATTTTAAAGAAGTCCCAGGCTTTTGCTTCCTAATTATAAATTATTTAAGGGTATAAAATTGTGGGTCAAATTTTATTATGCAGCAAGTAAAAGTAATATTTCGGGATCTGAATGGTTACTTTTCTTCCCCATATGCTATCATAAAATCTGCAAATTGAAATTACTTTATGCAAGTGGTGCTTAAAGCCTATGTGGTAGTACATTATTAGATATATTGGATGCCAGTGTTTTTTGAGACATACACAACTGGCTTTCACTATAATGGTTGTAGATTCCTTTAAGTGTATGAACTAATTAGAATCTTTCTTAAACTTAAAATAGTACTCGGAAAACTATCAGGCACCTTCTTTTATAATGAATTGTAATATCTGGGCAGAGGCACATTCTTTTTACCAAGGAGCAACACCTTCTAGCCTGGTGGTAGCACAATAATTGTACTCTATTTCAGGTGTCCCCACAGTGAGCCACAGCCCACTCCCTGGCTATGGGCCATTTGGAATAGGGCCATGTGAGTGGCTGGCTAGAACATGTGCAGCTTAATGCAATGGGCAATTGTGCACGTGAGTGTCGGACCATTGCTTGTGCAAGTCGAGCTGTGCGCATGAATGCTGTCCCACTGCTTGCACAAGTACACACCTGCCTGCCACTAACATGGTCCAGTTCCTCTCCCCCACAGCTAGGCTGCGAAGGCACAAAGGTTGGAGACTCTTGCTCTATTTCATATCTATTATATTCTGGAGAAGGATTGTCCCAAAGATGCTTTTTCAAGAGGCAACTGGACTTTCTGGTCTCGTGTTGTGTTAGTTGTACCTTCTTTATAAATTCTCTGACCTGTTCCAATACATGTGTTGGTAAGTCAGTCCAGAAAGTCTAGTGACCTCTTGAAAAAACACCTTTGGAACAACCATGACCTGGATGAGTGAGAATCTCCATAGACATTGGAGATGAATTGCTCTGGAGAAGTGTACAGATTGCATCCGCATAGATGTAACAAAGCCCAATTGTTTAAAATGGACAAACTGGAGAGGTTGCCATTCTGAATATGTATAAAGAAGAACCTGCGCCCTATGCTTGAAGTGCTGCCCACCAGTCTTTGAGTCAGCAGAAAACATGGCCAGCTTTTGCTGCCTCACTTGCCAGTTCCCATCATGTATCACTGCAGTCTCTTGACTGTTGTCCAAGGTGGCAAAGCCCAATATTATGTATTTTGAGGCTGTCTTTGGTTAGTGTAGGGGTATGGGTAGCCTTTAACTTATGACTGTAATTGAGCCTGTAATCAATTATAGTTGTAAGTTGTAATGATTGTAAAGTGGGTCATGATGTGATTCGGCCTGTTTTTATGATCCCTTTTTTTGTGGTGGTCGTTAAGCAGACAGGATGGCTGGTTAGCAAACCCATTGTTCACCTTGACCTTATTTTCACCAGAAACCAGAAGTTAATGCCAGTTTCCAGCAAATATGTTAGAAAACTCAGTTCAGTGATTGCATGATGTTGCGAAGGGCTGTAAATGTGGATTTTTACTGAGCACCCACAATGCAGTCACATGACTGCAGGAGATGTGGCATCGTAATTTCAAAATTGGGTTGTAAAATTATGTTTTGGGCAGAGTCTATTGTAATATCAAATGGACTAATTGTATGTTGAAGAAGATGACCTGTAACAGGGAAAATACTACTTCAATACTAGTGCAGTTGTGGATGACTTAAGTCTGTCTCATTGGGGATAAAATGAAGGCAATATCCACGATGATGTGTACATGATTGTGTATCTTTTTTTTTTTGGCTCCCGGTGATGGTTCGCCATTGCCTGCTTCCTAGAGCTAAGAGAGAGACTGGCCTAAGATCACTCAGATTGCTTCACTCCTGAATTAGGATTAGAACCTGT